GCATCAAACGTGAAGGTAGTCAGTGGTGGATTTGGAAGAAAGAGTATCCGACGAAGCAACCGCAGTCTCGCGTTGTTAGGTGTTTTGAAGACTTGGGCATATTGGTTTTTCAGCATCTCAGCTGCTTCCTGAGTGTTGCTGGCGACCTTCCCAGACAGCTGAGTGCGGGTATCCCACACTTTACTTTCCTCGACATATTGACATGTTTGTATAGAAGTGATGGGTTGGAGATTAACTTCCGTGAGAGCACTACTTAGTACCTCAGCTTATCCTCCCGCACCAACTGGGTACAATGGTTTCGCAGTTGTCGATATTTATTCCAGGTGCTGTCAGTTGGAAAGCGATTGTATTCTCGCCAAGATCGATTGCGTAGAGACATCCATCTNCTGTTTTTCTGACAACCTTAGTAACCGAGGCGATCAGGTTCGTAAGTCTTAGTGTAAATGCATGCCAGGTGACCACTGGGTTACCTACGTCCCCAGGAAAGATTCACTGAGTTCAGTGAGCCCAATTCTGAACCCTAGTATAGTCCGTGGCGAGACGTGTATTGCTTGCGCTCTTCTTTTTATAGAAGCGTAGCAGACATATTTGAACAACAATACTCCAGGGTCACTGCGTCCTAAGGGGGGCGAGACATCGATGGATTCGACCATAATCTCTTTGTTGGTTAATACCAGATCCAGCATCGACGATGTTTTCAGGTTGCCAAACCTTTTGGGCTCCTTCATGTGGTTTTACAACGGATGCGAGTGGATTTACTGTTTAAACTGGCTTTGGAACGATAGATGGGAGGTCAAAGTTTGATTAAAATGCGGGCAGTTGAAGTCACCCACTATTAGAATATGACTAAATTTGGCAGATAGGACTTATGACATTGCTCGCAAAAGTGTGTCGATTGCCGACTCCGTGGATGAGAAAGAACGATAGACCACTCCAACAAGACAATCGTCGTGCTTCGACAGTTTCAGTTTACACCAAATTGTGTCAGGGGCTGGAACAGGAGGTCAACTGCATCACACTGGAGATCGCTTCGATGGTAAAGTAGAACACCACCCCCCCCCCACATGTTGGATGGTCGCGTCCGAGGAGAGACATACCCGGTAGGCCCAACTCAGAGTCGAGAATGTCAACCGTCAACCAAGTTTCGGTGACAGCAATGCTATCCTGCTGAATGGATAGGAAACGCAACACCAGTTCGGAGAACTTACTGCGGAAACCTTGGGCATTAGTGTAGCAACAGGTTAAATGTTTTTGGTGTAAAAGTCCCTTTTGGTGAGAAGTAGATTCATTGACGACCCTGTCATGGTCGGCTAACATTGGTGTTTTGGGGAGGGAGTCCTGGCCCTCTGATCTCCCGATTGTGGAGGGGAGCATAAAACCGGAATCGATTGTGCATTAGCACCGTTATCACACAGTGGAAATTTCGATACTACAGTCTTCCTCAAGGGTCTCAGTTGTAGTTCTGATGGTCCTTTTTTCTCGTTTAGTTTCCAAGACTGTTGTCGCCATTTCTGGTGAGCTGAGGGTGACTTTCATTATCTTCGAGCCATTACCGCGGGAATTTGGTGAAAAAGTAAGATGACTGATTGATGTGGTAAAAATATCTCCATGGATGGGGACATCCGGACGCACGTGACCGATGGTTAAAGACACTGAGTTATATGCCTGAGTGTCGTGAGTAGTGGTGCTCATGCATCTCATTTTTTTGCAGCCATAGTTTACTGGAGTTCCCAAGTTTCTCTTCCACTCTACTTTCAGCTTTCTTGTCTCGCCCCCATTGTTCATCAGAATGGGCAGCCAAAAAAACAGCAACTGAAACCAGTGCAGTCAGCTGCGTGGTTAATGGTTGTTCAAACTGAAACTGATCTCTGACATCATGTATTTGATCATGAGGTTTACCCGTTTTGCTGTGAATCACTTTGTATGTAATAAAAAAAACTCAAAGGACTCTATATCACACCTGTACAAAAGGTTCGTCTACAAATTTCTCCACCATCTTAAGTTGGAATGATTATCCTCGTGGTTGACGATTCGTGTCAAAAGCTTTTTGCCATATATAACCCATGATCCCAAATATTGGTCGATTGATAAAAACAACAACATATTTTGTTCGAACAAAAATCAATTAATCATACAGTATTGATCTTTGGGATGGTCGACTTTGAGAATGCCTGAAGGTGAGAGTGCAGGAGTATTTCATTGGTCATTTCGGAATTAGTATTGTTTTCTAGCTGAATCAGTTTAGGATGTGCAAGAAAGATATGAAATATTGCTTACTTTCAGACAGATTAATTGTAAAAATGGAACTAATTGAGAATGGTGCATCAATACACAATCTGTTTTTCTATTGCTTAGCATTCTACCCCCTGTGATGCCCTACTCTAATCCCCCATTTTTGTTCCTCATCATTTGCGCATTCGGTGGGGGGGGGGGGCAGGCTTAGCGCGGAAAAACAGCGTTTGGAACACTTGTGCACAGTCAAGCAAAAATGGAAACGTGAGCGGATCAAAGTCGCATTCGCCAAACTTGACAGTGTCTTGGTAAGTCCATCCATATACAGTATCGTGTGGATAACTGATGCCCTCTGTTTACAAGAATAGAATGGGTAGAGCAGTGAGCAATTTCTTTGTCCCTCCAAAGGGGCTTTGATGGATAGGAATGGATCAGAATACAATCCCAATGATGCAGATAAGATAAATATTTTTGTAGTTATCTAAAGGATGTTTTGAAAACAATGTGAGGTTTGAATCCAGGGGAATAAAACCCATTATCAATATCATAAAAGAAATTTTTTCCACCTCTGCTGCCCTGATCACTACTTTTATTGGCATTATAGTTAATATTACTGTTACTGCTTTGATCGCCACTCCCATCAAACAGTAAGACAGTCTGTGATGTAACCCAAAACATATGATGACTCGACAAAAAATTACCATAACATCGACATGCCATCACCAGAGGTAACATTGATGTCGCAACAATTTCATGTCACAACGATTTGAACTGAATCATCGGCACCCGGTCGATTAGTTCCGAAACGATGAATTTCAAATGCCTAATGTGCTAATTATTACGAGTTGCACGTTCTCCTCATCAGCTCCGTTTGTGCCCGTTCATCTAGAACACGTCGGTAACCTCTCGGCCGCTCGCTGATGATCTGGATGAATTGGTGAGTTATCTCAAGTTCTTTTTTTCTGGAAGCATGAAGCAGGGTCGTGTATGATTGTGGTATTGGTTGTTTCATTTAACTTATCGCGGCTTTCATGTTTACCCCTTAGCGATATACCGGTCTTGTTTATGTAGTATTCCTGCTCAAGGATAAACATTCATCTGTATAACGTCGAATACCGTGTTCGTGAAGAAATTTAATTTCAATATATTGCATCATGGTACTGATACCTGATGGACTGATTACGGCTCAGCTTATGACGACGACGACAGGGGCGAGCAAACGGAGTAATCAAATGTGACAAGGCTAGCGGTCAAATGAGATAACTTTCGAGAGATGGACTGATTACAATAAAATTTGTGAGCTCGGGAGAGAAGGCACGACCACACACACGAGCAGGCAATTATCAAAACGTATTGCTGAGCAATTTCCTGCGGTCCTCTACAAAGGAACGTTCAAGTGCATTCGCAGCTCAGTTCTCGTTTACCTCGTTGGTAGCGGGCATTTTGTGAACAAATCGGATGCATTCAAAATCATTCAAACTATACCCGGGAGATTTTTTAAAGGAATGAGAGGGCAACCTTTAACCACGGCCGAGGCGATTGCGATTCGCATTTTCAATCCCGAACTATGCAAGCAAAACAAGCAAATCCCTACACTGTTGTTGCCCTGGTCTGGAGAGCGGATCGGTCTTGCATAAGAAAAAGCATTAATCTTCCTCCTTCCGCATCCGCTCCTACCCAATATCTTTTACCATCATCGTATCGGTCAATTATTCTTTTTTTCCACCATCCGGCTGACATCACAAGTTATGCAAGACATAAAGACGTAACTTACATAACTTCATCCCGCTTTATCGTCTTAGATCCAAGAAGGATCAAGGAATAGTCATTCGCACAAACTTTAGTTGCTCCATAAACTGTTCCAGGGCATCGTCCATGGAGGTAAAACAGGTTGGACTGCTTAAACCTGTTTTTGGATCATTTGAGCCGGCTTTGTTTCCACATCTGTTAGCCACATATATCCGTCCACACACCGAGTACTCAATTCAGGCCTGCAATCCATGGCTGCAGCGAGATCGGAAGGCGCTCGTACATCCGCAGAGTATAGATACCAAGATGGTCAATGGTCTACATTCCAAGACCCATGGCGAAAGATTACAGCTATTGGGGATATACTCGTCTCGATATCGTTCAGTCAGAGATAATATGATTTTATTGTATCGGATTTTCAACAGCCTAAACATCCATGTAGATCTCTTTTCGTTCTATCAACCAATGTTCATCTCAGAGGGCATCCACTGAAGTTGATACTCAAAAAGAGTCATCTAGACTGCAGACGCCATTCGTTTGCAGTCAGACTGTGCAGCACATGGAACCCTCTATCACCTCATGTGGTCTGTGCGTCAACATTAGCATCTTTCAAGCGTCAGTTTGATGATGCTCTGGCAAACAGTTTCAAAACCCAGCTACATGATATATTCTCCTGTGCTCGTCAAAAACATGCCATTACACGTTTACTTGCATGGACTAACTGTGATCTTATGAATCGTGTTCTGAACCAAAGTGTTAACACCCTATAGAATTTGATAAACGAATTCTTCGTAAGATTTTCCCATAATAAAAAATTTGAATTTGAACGTTCATTTTCATCAGTCCATTGTCAAAATATTGTAAATCGGACAGTCCATCGTCGTCCTTCGTCCTCTCATCCCTACCACGACTATAGAATTGATTACCGCTAGCCTTGATACATTCGCTTGCTCCGTTAGCTCGCCTCTGATGTTGTTAAAGCCAGTTAGTCAATATGATATCACTACTATAATTGCCTTATTATATTTCACCGCCTGATGCGATATGTCGAAAATAAATTTCTTCGCGGATACGTTTTTCTGCATTGTCCATGGAAATATTTTACCAAATTGTGTAAGGCAATTAACGACATATGAGTAGGCGAAATCTGGAAGTGTAAATCGGTGCAATGTTGATGTTACTGGGAACTACTGCGTGACGCGACTAACAAACGGGACTGAACAGTTGTCCTTTTATTGTCGGGGCTTCGCAGTTGTTCGTTGCTCGTTTTCTGCTGTCATGAATTGGTTTCCACCACAGGAAAACAACATCTCACTTGTAAGACAAACAAACTTCCAAAAAGTGAAACCCACAAACAACTATACAATAAGTGTTTTCTGTACATTTGTACATTCAATAAATAAAAAAGAGGAAGTAAAAAGACATCAGACATCAATGAGAGGCCATGTGTTTGCCAAAAATGGAATGAATTCACGCAGTCAGCACATTCTATAGATGATGCAAATGTTTCCAAAACAAGCGATTGATGTGAGAGCAGTTTACCGCAATAATTATGCTATGATTATCCTATAAGGAGTTTGTGGATATTCTCTATCCATTAAACCAAATTAATTCTCCGCAATCGAACTTCCAAATCGAAATCAAAAAGCCAAGTGAAAACTGTCGGATGGTGATCAACGTTTTATTGATCAAAGAGTTAAAGCTGTGTTTTACCAAAAGCTCACCAAAATTTGATAGATTACCTTCGTAAACTTGTCTTTCGTACAGGCGGAATCTGTTCAGGAGATCCGAGAGGACTTGTTTTGCGTTCATAGATCTCACTTGCGTCTGAATTGACTGATCTTCAAACGGGTTGTTGTGAAATAACCAGAAGATACCAGTAATAACAAACTGGTAGCAGGTGATGAACTACGAGATTGTGAAGGTTAGCCACCGGGTTGAAATGAATAAACCCTTTTTGTAAACGTGTATCAGTTAGCTGAACGATATTTCTATTGATATCGTAAAGACCATTTTACCGATGAGATGTATTTGGTAATCGAATCGTTCATTTCTGAGTTTTATTTTTCATATACTCACTTCAATCTTTGTAATGCCGTATGCTAAAACAATGAAGTGGTTTTATTGGGTAGCACTGTAATGGAATAAATGAACACATCGACTGACTGATTCCTGACCAAGTCTTCTATCCTCGATAAGGGTTGACTGGGAATGTAAACCATTGCAAAGCAATATAAGACTTATGGTGGTAAATTTTCCTGTTCGTATTCGATGAATCTTCAGAGCGGTTGTAATCGTGATCAAACAATTTGAACGAACTACAAGAAAAAAAACGACCTCATCTATATTACATGAATCACCCTGTTCTGGTGTATCTCAATTTTCAGGAATGGCGTCCAACATTCACCGCAATCGATGAGGTAAGTTGGCTGTTTTTGCATAGGACTCAGTCTAAACCGAAGTCGTTCACTGTTCTACCTGTCTGGTTTTCTCATATCACAAAAGATTTTGGTCAATTTTTAAAACTGGATTCTTATGAGCTTTTCCCCTCTCTTTTTACAATTCATCGTGACTAGTTATTATATAGGGAAGAGAACTCGGAGGCTGACTAGTTGTGTGGCAGTTTCTCGCTGGAATTACGAGAGAAGAAAAGAACTAGATTTCCAGTCATAAAGTGTGCATCTGTCTCGAAAATTCCCAGTTTAATTCCACTGAACTCATTGGTCAATTTTTCGATGAATTTATGACAGGTAGCATGAACATGAGCTCATCACATTTTCGTCGAGCGCTAAAAACCATAAAAAAGACCGTGTTTCAGATGAAAATGGGCTCTGTAAGATCGTGGATATGCTGTAAAAATTGGTCTTTCCAGTCTACTGATTCAAATAACCCTCATGTTTGAAATTTGAACTCTGTGGTTTTGTCACATTGTCCTCCATAGACGTCAACGGCAAACACGCAGGTGAGTCGGTCCACGGACGGAACCCACTATTACTCGGTCCGCAAACAGACGAAGGCCTCTTTGAGTCGTGTGATTTGAATTTGAATTGTGTAAACAATTAACAATGTGCGTTGGTTGATAATGAAGATTTGACTGTGCTACATGTACAGGGGAACTTTATCTAACGCGTTCCTGTGCAAATCAATCTTCAAATTGATTGGCCTTGGACCAATCGGATCCTCGTAGGTTTTTTTGCCCGTTCGACTTGTCACCAGATCGCCTATCTGATGTTTCGTAATAAGGATAACATAGTTGTGGACTGCTTCAAGTCTTTTCATCGATGTATGTGACATATTGATAAGTTGCACGGTGATTCTTTCCTTTAGCTATGCCGAGTTTTGTTTGACTGATAAAAAACAAACATGAGGTTTTGTTGTTAGAGCTTTGTTGCTAATCCTATTGCAAATCAACCTTTTTTTACCTTACACAGAAAGTCCCACCTAGATTTTCCACACGAGGGTGTCCGGATGGAGAAGCCAAATCCCTTGATCATTCCGATCCTTCAAAATATTTGGATCCCTTATCTGCTGCTGCTACCGCCGCTTCCGCCTCCGTCAGCCAGTCCATCCCGCAACCTCAACAAGCGGTAGCTATGTACGATTATCGGGCCGAACGATCGGACGAGTTGACCCTGCGACGAGGGGATCGATTGCATTTGTTGTATCGGGATACACCGAAATGGTGGATGGCCAGAGATATGACGTCTGGCCGTGAGGGTTTTGTGCCCACAACCTATCTGGCTTTTGATGAGAACGGTTCGTTTCATGCCAATAAGCTCGTGTGTGCATGTGTGCATCCATGAAATGGTTTCTTTATTACACACTTTCGTGTGATGAACAGCAGGCCTCAGAAAGCCCCATAGTCACGAAGACCTGCTGTTCGGTGATTTTAACCGGTAAGCTAATCCCCAGGACTTGGAGTGGCGAACCACGTAATACCCCGTTAAGTTAGGTGTGGTATTGAATCGAACAGCAGCACAACTGCCTACCTCCAAATGATAGAATGATCGTAAAACTGGAAGTGAATTTCACGTTGGACGAAACTTCAACATACATTCGACAATCATGAAAAAGATTGTGCACTGATCTTAGACAATCTTGATTAAGTTAGTTTAACGCCTTTTGCTTGGCACCAGTCGCCGTCTAAACACATTGTCGCCAACCGATGTGACCATTTCGGCCAAACAGCTATCCACCGAAGGATAGGTGTTTTACAATCGACTACGCGTTTTCTTTTTCACGTGAAACGGTGTTCAGTTGTCGAAAACAGACAGGCCTTACGTTTATCGTGTTCTTTATGCGTACGCGTTTGATCTTTCATCACCTGTACAATGCACCTGTTTACACTGACCAATGCGGCGTCTGAATTGGAGCAACTCGTCCACATCTGTTATTTTCCTGGGTCATTCTTATTCAGTCACGTGATTATCGATCCCCGATCGTTCTTCACTGGACATTTGCCTTGTGGATCCATATCAAAGGACTGTTCTTCGCCTTTGACCGTGCTGTACGGCTGACTGCTGGTTAAGCAAGACGATTCCTTCTGCTTTCGAATTTTAAATTTACCCAACAACCCATTACAAAAATCAACTTAAATGGACCGCAATAAAGAAGTTATAGGAACGCGGAAATTGAAATCTATCTTGAAGTTCATATGTACACATGCACACCAACCAACCACGTTGAAAATCCTTAAGTCTTTTCGCTGACGTGTTCGGTCAATACAGAAGTGCAATACAAACCTGATTTTGCAGGTAGAGCTCAGATCACCCTCACTGGGCCATCAAATATCGCTGGAACTGGAGTGAAGTAACTGATCGACTGTGGAATGAACAAAAGTTATTCAACACGGTGTACAGAAAGACAAAGTGATGCCAGGACCTTGAAGTTACTTATCCGCTCAGTCACATGCTGAACCGTGTGTGACACGGTCACCTCTGTGTATCGGGTTTTTCTATCGACGTGGATGGACCGGCTAAGTTGGTCTTTCTGTTCGTTTGTTGGCGGAATTGCAAACAGGAGACGTTACTGTTACAGAGAACCCCTCCCCCTCCTATTTAGTCTCGTTAACGGTTAATCAACAAGCGCCGTCTTGCTGAACTCTAACCTCGTTCATCAACGCTTCAGTTCATTCCAAACATTCAGTACCAAGTAGATTAGGCCTTACTCAACGATACTTTTCAACAATTTTCTCCCACATGCGGAAAAAGTCGACCTGAAGGAGAAATCAAATGAAAATTCTCGGAACTACGCTGTGAAGTAGATTCGACAGCAATATCCTGTCTTTTCTTCCATGATACACGTCTGGCCCTATTGGAGTCAGATGTTGCCTGTGGGGCAGCGAGGTAACGTAGATTTCATTAATTTTTGGTGTACCAGATTGGAACATGGCTCAATGTTTTGACATGTGACTTTCCGTTTGCACAGAAAGCACTGTCAAAGTAAAACCTGGCCGCTACCGTTTATCCAATGTTTTTCACTTATCCGTGACCGATAGTGCCTAGCTCAACTGCAAACTGAGCTATATGCGATGAGATAGTTCCGTGCACTTGGAATCTTATGATTTGGTGCAATTGGGATAAACCATCTGAAGGCTCTCTTCTTTTACAGCGGAACTGAGCAAGCTGGTTATCTACCTTTTCGGCTGCGAAAGTTTGATGGCTATAAATGACTATCTTAGCTTGCATTCTCCAAATTTACATTAATTTTTACATCCCACTGATATCTCTTTCGTCAAACTAAAGAGTGTTGTGTATGCTTCATGTGCCATTTTACAAGCAGCTACCAGATCCCTTATTCGAGAGCAGAGCACATCAGAATGCCCGACCGAACGTGCCAAAACTTCGGTGGAAAAATCACGTCTATCCGCCCAACGAGTTGCCGAATTGATGAACCAGTCCGTGAAACGTGGCAGTCTTCAACCCCCAACTATTCGTGTCGAGGAGTGCGACATTACGTTATCGAATAACAGAGGTTCACGACGCCTGAGTGGATCGAATGGAACGCCAAGTCCTTCAAATCTGATTATGCTCAGTCCCAGACCAACCCAATCAGAAACCGGAATGACACGTCGTCGTGGTTCGAGACCACTGCCACTTGGGAAAGATTTGGATGAACCGAATTCTGTCTCGAATGTCAGCAAATCTCGGACTCAAGACACTGGGGTGAATCGAGGATCGGTTTCTTCAGTAAGATCATTTGAACCAGTACAAAACACCCCAACATGCATTCGCTCAAGGCCATTACCAAAACTGGACTAAACCAGCCTTCGATGTCGCGTGGACAGATGATCAGCCTCGGTATTTAGGTATTAAATAGGGTAAGTAAGAGAACACGAATAAATCAAATTAGTATGGACTGTCTTTCTGCTTTTTATGTGACATATTGTTCATCGTTCTTTTCCATCATTCTAGCTGCTTTTGCTGCTACTACAGTTAAATTATTTTCAAATTCAAAGGTGCAGTTTATCTTGCCGCATACATTAAAAAAATGAAACATTGGTCAGATGTTCAAGTGAGCAGTAAATTTTCGTTTTCCTGGCGAGCTGCTTTCCCACCGGGGTTATAGCTCCCCAGGGAGATTGGTGAATTGATGCAACTGATATTAGGAAATAAGAATTAAATTGATTTGCAGTCTATACTTCCTTTCTTGTGCTTCGAGTACAATGAACGAGTGATGACCAAGCGCAATCGAGAGCGTCCGTCATCCGTTTAGTGCTGTAGTGGTTGTAGTAATGGTAGTAGTAGCACGCAATGAACACGAAACGCGAATCACGGAATACTGATCGCGGATTAGCAGTCACGGATGTTACGTAAGCACTGGACCACACTGACATTAGTATGTGATATCCTGCGTAACCGAGACACGAAGAAAAGGTCGCAGAAGTACTAGCTCGTTTAGTGGAAGAAATAAGGGAGATGAAATAACATTTACAAAACAAATTCACTGGTCATCCAGGCTTCTACCAATCGCTATCCAGTATTTCTTGCATCGTTCTCCTTCTGTCTGGGCTGCATGGTCTCTGATTGGCTGGTACAATCCACCTATGGTATGTAGTCCAGAAGCAGTGACACGTACGCCCTTTGCTGATGTCACCCTTGAAGTTTGATTGATCACAGCTGTCCTAAAACTGTAACGCGTCGCTCCTTGGTATGAGTCATCTCGTAGGTCCGGATCACTACAGATTGTCAAACGCTTCCGATTTTCTCGAAATGCAATCCGCACAAAAGGTATTACAACTTTTGGCCTGATTGACGATAAAATCATAATACCCAATCGTTTCACCGCATTTGCACTGATATCTGGATTCAATGCGAAACACCTTTGGTTCAGGCTCTTCAACTAAGCCCCAGATATTTTTGGTTTTGCTAACACCTCCGGGAAACGTCTTTGATCTGTTTACTGCTATGATGGTAAAGAAGCGCGTTCATTGGTCCCGTGCACTATCCTGTTCCACTCGAGTTGGAGATTGTGACGACGCTTGACGCCCCGACGAGAACCCTTGAGTTAATCCCCGACAGCTTCCTCTTCGTTTGGAGTACTTCCACATGGACCTCAAAACCCTGTTCTGTATGTGAAACGTATTCCGATTCGCTTAGCATTTCTCCAGTTACATTTGTTCGGGATAGCTAAACCTTTTCTAAACGAAAAGCAGTCTTTTTCCAGAATAGCTAACGAGTCGGAATGCAGTATATGACCCTAAGATTTCCTAGACAAAAGAAATAACCTGTGGCTGAAAAGACTCTGTCTAGTTGGACAAGGTGCCACTCTCTCTCTCNTCTCTCTGGGTATTTGAAATACTGACACCAGCCAAAGGCTACGTGTTACAGTTTCAGTACAATGGACCAGATGTCATCAGATGTTATCATCGACAAATCAAAGGCTACGCAATTCAAACAGTAGTCTTGTGACTCGAAGAATAAGAAAAACGATGGGTTGATATACTAGTCGAAGGAGGCACAGATCACGAATTCCGGATCACAAATCACGGACGCAACCAAAACGCTGAAACGCACTAGCAGTTGCACGCTGGCATTTTCCGTCTCCGAAAGGCAAAGAAAAGGTCAAAGTAGTAGCAGTTTGTTTATTAAAAGAAATCATGAGGATTAAATTATAGATACAACAGAAGTTTACTGGTTATATGGGTATTCACTAATGGCCTGCTTGTATTCATAACGTCATACAGCTTCTCTCTGAACCGCACAACCTATGGTTGGTCGACACGACTAGTCTGTGATTCGTTGTCCAGAAACGATAACGATGGGCGCTTAGCTGGCGTCAACTAGGCGATTTAGCTCACCACATTTGTCCAAAATATGTGACGCGTTGCTCCGTGGCTGGCATTGTCCCGTAGGCTGGGATCACCACAGCTGACGATTGTTTAGCCAATAATATTTCTATTAGTATACTTATTACTCCCATTAAGAACGGTTAGTAAGCAAAGTTAGGCAAATTACTCTCCCTGATTCATGATTTATAAAACAGCTTTGAGATCATCTGCCAATGTAGCCGGCTATCCCCAATGCTCCGATCACTTTATTATGGGCTCGCCCCAGCCAATTGTGATTGAACAAGGGGTCCCTTCGGGAAATTCCAGTTCCCCATTAAGGAGAAGTAAAAAGAAATGATTGATACTACCACCATATATTGACTTATTGCAACACAGCTAGTTCCAATTAGATTCTGCATCCCTTGGATAACGTCTAGTTATGACTGGCCAATGGAATACCAAATCTGAGTGTTTAATCTAGGGAAAATAAAAATTCAAAAATCAGTGAGTCAAATCTGCCTCACTGTATCCAAAGACTCGTATACGATTGGATTAATGGAGTCGTGAGTTAGACAAAACTATACACAGCAAATTCGGACGATAGAGTGACGGAACATCGTGCACTGGTAAGTGGGCAACTGTACAGACGTTACTTGTCGTATGCTACTCAATCGATACTGTTCACTCTTCTCTGTGTAGGTTTTAGTACAACAACACGAAGCCCCGGGTGGCTTCCTGTACCTGCATTCGACTATGCTATATCATTGGTCTGCAGCAATCTTTATGAAGAGGTGTGTTGCCAGATCATCAGTTTGTACAAAAGGAAAAACTGAATGCTGATGATTATATGATAAGACAAAACCCATAGACCACAGATAACAGATGATCGATAAGAGAGAACACGTTTTCTGCCTTTTGGCAACGTTCACGCAGGTTTTTCACACAGTGACAGCAATAGCCAAGTGTGATCGGTTAAAAATTAACTACCAAAACTCTGTCAGCATTGGGGCAAATTGATGCTTCTGTATGTCAAACAACAGATCGATACCGTGAAAAATCTCCAGAGCAGTCATAGATGAAGTTTAATTCCGTGAGAGTGCAGTAATTGAAGTACGTACGCCTTATGGATCACGAATCGCGGNGTTATCTATCGTCATCTAGACGCTGGAAAACGTTCGCAGAAGTAGCGGTTCTTTTGATTGAAATAAACCAATGTCATTGGTCAAACGAATATCAACCAACCGTGGTCTTCGAGTCACACGGCTTCTGTTTGAACTGTATGGCTGTTGAGTGATCGATACCGTTGGCCCGATGTCCAAGAGCTGGAACGCGTAGGCACTTTGCCGGTGTCATCTCAGAGGATTTACTCACCACGAAGAGGTGTAAAGGCTTTTGCTTTTCTCACCCCGTAGGGATTTTGACGCAGGTGAACCCAATGTTCGAACAGTTGGGGGATGAGGAGTCAGATGTACAGTCATGCGTATGAGAAATGTCACACAGTTTCTCTATTTTATGAACATTCACCTACATTGAAATGTTAGATCTGCGAATAGTTCATCTTGTCTATGCTTGAAAAAAAATATGTACTGCGCGAAATCAAATAATATGAGATGATAGGGAACTCCCAAAACTAGGAATTTTGATGAATGAGGCCGGTATTCCAGTGGACGTTTTGAAAGCACAAACGTCAAAGGATGACCTCATCGTGAGGATGTGACAAGGTGAGCAGCGAACCACATGAATGAATTGAGTTCTACGGTAAATCAAGCCTCCTCAAATTCGCCGATACTGGATGGAGTACAACCCCAATGAAGGTATTCAGTCTTTCCATGATTATTTCGCACTCATGGATTCGAGGCTGAAAAGGTGTACTCAGTGTATGGGGTCAAGTGTGCACTGGTAACAATTGTGAGACCAGCGTTGGCTCAAATTTACCAAGCTGTGGTGTTTCGGGCGTACGAGATGACGCATCCCCCGGTGCGACACGTTACAGTTTTACGACAAGTGTGATCGATCAGACTTTATGAGTGACGTCAGCAATCCGCGTACGTGTCACATCCCCAGGATTACCATAGGTCATACCATAGCACGGTTGTACCAGCCAATCAGAAACCGTGCGGCTCAGACAGAAGCTGAACAATGCCAGAAATACTGGAATGCGATTGGCAGAGGCCTGGATCGCAAATGAATTTGTTTGTACACATTATTTTATCCCCCTGATTTTTTTCAATGGACAAACTGTTGTTCCTTTGACCTTTTCCTCGCGTCTCGGTTACGTGAAATATTGTGTACAAGTACCAGTGCGGTCCAGTGCTTACGCCTCGACCGTGATTGCTAATTCGTGATTCGTATTTCTTGTTCAGTGCGTACTACAAATAATACAATTAGTACGTAAACACGCAAGCATAATTAGATCAAACAACGCACAGGAGCATTTAGTTGAACAGCTTAGGTCGTCTTGTTCGACCACACCAAGAGCCATCCCACTCTGGAAATGTGACATTTAAGATCGGAGGAAGTATTTGTATGTAAACCGATCTCTGAGGCGTTGTTATATGACCGTGCATTGCAATGCATTGAATACAATGTCATTCTCAAACGATCATCAAACCAACTGTATGAATTGTCAGATCTGCTTGCGAGCTCTCAGATTTTGCTACCATTTTCCAGGTTTGGGTGGGAATACGGGAGCCCGAAACTTGCACTGCCATGGTACGTTTTAAGAAGGAATTCTTCGATTCAGCCACGTACGCACCCACGGATTCCATATGTTCAGCGTCTTTGCAGCAATATTTACTCGCACCTCACAGATGAATGCAAAGGTACTATCGACTCGGTCACCGGCGAGCAGCTAATCACACCGTTTTTCATTTTCCTTACTCACGGTCCAGCACAACCCATTTTTGAGAGCCTAATGCAGACATCAGACCTTGCACATCTCAGCATTGTCCCCGGGACGATGACTCTATACGGGAAACATTCTATCTAACCCAGTCTCATGTTACGCGAGAGCAGTAGATGCTTTGTTTTGATCATATGGTGAATTTCGGCGTGTACAGAACAGCTGAAGCATGTAATAAAAATCTGGGAAGCCCTGTACAGCTATTTTGACCTGGCTGGGTCACATCAGCAGTGCGCGAATCTATCGACCCAAGTGGGACTCGAACCCGGGACCTCACCGGTAGAACCCAAGCTTACTACCCGTTTGACCACCGAGCAGTTGATCACACTTATTCAATTTGCTTAACATCATTTATGGGTAATTAGTCTGTATCTGTATAATTCTAGAATCACAGTATTTTCGAATATTTTTTGAAACATCCCACTTACCTTATCACCTACGTGATTCATCACAGTGAGTGAGGTTTTTGGGTGTGTTATTTATGACGGGATTATTTTGATAATTTCGATAATATATGTTCGAGTATACATAATTGTGATCAGCGTTGTCTGTGTAATTGTGATAATCGGAATAGTACTGAATGTAGGTATACGAGAACTCGTACTGTAATACTTAGAACTGGATTGGCTTCAACCCGAATTGCGGATACCAATGAAATACACGGAGAACTGATAGCAACAAGTGCCAATGTTTATTGATAAAACTAGAGCATGTTTTACAGTTTTATGTGTGCACAACTATGTTGGGATTGAATGTGAAATTGTGCACCCACCTTCTCGTTGACACATCAAATTATTTCATGTGGGTAATGGAGGATTTGGTTAAATTTCAAATGACAATTCGTCGTGTATATAGCAAAGGAAGCGTGTTTCCGAGCTTTTCAGTTCACGCTTCATTTGCAATATACACGACAAATTGTCATTTGAAACATCAAATTATCTTCACAGTAAATTGTAGAAACTTAATGTGTTTTTAAAAAGAATGCGTTTCTACTCTCCTCCGATCACAACCGTCCATTGAGGAGCAAATGGGAAGTGGTTAAGAAACGTTAGTCTTTGATAGGCGAAAAATGAACGCTTAAGTACATAATCAACATAACATTGGTCACGAAGATCAAACGCCGCTCAAACACGAGAGCTCATGTGACGGAGAAACCTTGGACCCCCACTGTGTGACAGAGAGAGGAAACTAATCGGCTATCATATCGATCGATCAAAAACCGTAAATGCGTCATGGGAAAGAAAAACGCGACGCGCTCGATAGAGAGTCCAGTGGAATCAATCCAAGCAATGCTTAAAAAGAAAAGATCAACG